CAATACAATACAATACAATACGATCTAGAGTGATCTCCTTGCCTTGTACTTTCCATAATCCCAGTTCTGAGTTTCATAACTAATGAATGATGTGAGTCTATAGCAGCGTTTCTGAACCGTGCACTTAGGCAAGAAAAACCAAAAGGACACTTATAGATTGGGTGAAACCAGGCTTAATAGCAGTGACTGGGGGAGGGATCTTGGAGGCTTAGTGGACAACCAGCTAAATATGAGCAAGCAGTGTGCAGTGACAGCCAAAAAAAGCCAATGCAGTACTAAATTGCCTTAACAGGGGGATACAATCAAGATCAAGAGACATTAATACCACTCTTTAAAGCCTTAGTAAGACCACACCTAGAGTACTGCATCCAGTTTGGGTCACCACACTATAAAAAAAAGATATGGAGACTCTAGAAAGAGTGCAGAGAAGAGCAACCAGGGTGATTAGGGGAGGCAAAAACACAATGAATGGTTGCAGGACCTGGGCATGGTTGGTCTAGTGAAGTGAAGGACCAGGGGAGACAGGAGAGCATCTTCCAATATTTAAGGAGTTGCCTTCAGAAGTTATGGGGGCTTCATCACTGGAGGCTTTCAAGAAGAAATTGGACTGCCTTCTGTCAGAAATAGCATAGGGTCTGCTTGGGCAGGGGGTTGGACTAGATGACCTACAAGTCCCTTCCAACTCTGTTAATCTGAATCTATCTACAATCATCAAAAGCCTGGAGGCTAAAACATGAAGAATGGTAGCAGGAGCCGGGCATGGCTAGTCTAGTGAAGAGAAGGACCAGGGGAGACAGGTTAGAAGTCTTCCCATATTTGAGGGGCTGCCACAGAGAGGAGGAGAGTCAAGCTGTTTTCCAAAGCACCCGAAGGCCAGACAAGGAATAATGGATGGAAACTGATCAAGGAGAAATTCAACCTAGAAATAAGGATGAATTTTCTGACAGTGAGAACAATCAACCTATGGAACAGAAGTTGCCTTCGGAAGTCATGGGAGCTTCATCACTGGAGGCTTTCAAGAAGAGACTGGACTGCCCGCTGTCAGAAATGGTGTAGGGTCTCCTGCTTGGGCAGGGGGTTGGACTAGATGGCCTCCAAGTTCACTTCCAATTCTATTAATCTGTTATTAATCTGTTATTATTATAACCTCAGCCACTGGAAAATGTGTGTCAACTGCCAGAATTCCCCAGCCACAGCACGGTTCTCAGGAATTCTGGGAGTTGACGTCCAAGCACCTTCAAGTGGCTGAGGCGGAGAAACGCCGCTCTAATGCAACCTTTTACCCTTCCCCCCTTTCCCCAGGGCTACTCCACAGATGTGTGTGTCCCCCTCTCGCGCCTTCCTGAGGTCCTGCTAGAAACCAAGAAAGATTTGCTGGACTCCAACCTTACAGGTGAGCTACACGTGGTTGGACACCTTAGTCATGAGGCTGTTCGGTGGTCCAGCCCAGGAGATGAGGGAATTGGCCAGTCCCTCGTCCCCACAAATTGTGGGGCCAATGCCAGACCCATGGGATGGAGTGCTTTCATCCGAATGATGAGAGCGACATTGTGCTGTTCCTTTTGTAAATGCATCACAACACATGAAACGAAGGTTGCGGTATGGGAGTCTTTGGTGTCAGCGTTCCAAATATCATGCAGAATTAAATCAGAGACCAAGGCAAAACTATCCTTAAAGTTCCAATTTAATAA